GAGACACTTAAAGGATGTTTAGTAAAAATGTTGTCCTTTACGAAAAGCTGGCCTTAACATCTAGCTTGTGCTTGATTCAACTTGATGTTGAATACATTGATACTCTTACATCTTTAACCAACTGAAATCTTGTGAAAGAAGTAATTTTTTTAAAACATCTTTTTTTTTTTTCATAATTGATGGTGATGTTTATAAGTAAGTGTATTTTCCCCTTCCCCAGTGGGCAAATGCTCCTTTGTGATGGTCTGTAATGGATTTATCTCCCCACAGCGGTTCTAATTGGAGAGAATGATTGTTTCTTGATGTTCCCAAGTGGCAGAAAACAGCATAAAAATATAAGTGAATCTGCTTAGTTTATTAGCAACAAAATAAGTATATTTCTTGGCATTGCATAATTAGAAATTATAGAACCATAGTAATGGTGTTGCTTCTGTTGTTATTGCCATTTTCTTGCATTTTACTGGAATTAAGGTTGTAAGTAACTTGTAAACTAGTTACAGAATAACTCCTCATCGTGGAAGAAAATATTGTGATACCTGGAAAGTCAGTGTTGGTTGAACAGAATGAAATATGGTTAGAGGATCCTACAAACTTTAACTCTCCTTGGTAGTTACATATCCTCTCCTTGGGGGTTATATACCAGTGGAAGAGTTGTGGGGGGTGTAGTTGTTTTGCTTAGTCTAATATAGAGCATTGGGCTGAAGAGTGACACCCAGATATGATAAGCAGTTCTTCTTTTAAGCTTGTACACATGTTCAGTTATGTTGCTTGTTAGAAGGAATAAATAGTATAGGCTTAACCCAGTATATTCCTTGAATGCTTGATTATAGTCTTTCCAACCCTTGTCATGTGTTAAAGAAAAATTTTTTTTTTTTTTTTTTTTCTTCTCTAGGTCACCTTTACAAAGAGGAAGTTTGGATTAATGAAGAAGGCATATGAGTTGAGTGTACTCTGTGACTGTGAAATAGCACTCATCATTTTTAACAGCTCTAACAAACTCTTTCAGTATGCCAGCACTGATATGGACAAAGTTCTACTTAAATACACAGAATACAATGAGCCCCATGAAAGCAGAACCAACTCAGATATCGTTGAGGTAACAATTTGAAAAGACACATCAGTTTTCTTGTCTCCTTAATAGTTCAAATATAGAACAATGTAGAGTATTTTAAGATATTTTAACCAAATGTGTTTAATAACTTGAAAACCTTGTCATTAAATGTAAACTACTGTTTTTAGTCTGGTTTTTCTAAGGCAATAAGTTGTCTTTGCAGCCATGTTGTTTTCCCATCTGCCCTGCACCCCCTGCCAGTTTCTGGGAAATGTGTTTGATTTCAACCACATTTGGCAATGGAAATAGAGGTGTGAAAGATGGTTGTTTTTCTGGGGGAGGAAAGGGGGGAAGTGTTCAAGGTTTTCTTGGAAAAAATCAATTGGATGGAAAATAAGGTCCGAAGAATGTCCTCAGCCTAAAAGGCAATTACTGTTGGCCCCTTTTCTAAGGTAGTAGCTGCTTTACCAGTCAAATATTGTGCACAGTCAGATTAGCCACAGCCCCTGCTGCCCCCTGTTCAGCCAAAAAAACCAACCCCAAAAGTGAATATATGGAGCAAATGAGCTTAATTAAATTTGTTGTCTAGTCACACTGCATGTCAGGTAAAACATAACAGTAGAATGACTGCAATTTCTGCAGTAATAGAATGGCATAACTATATTTACTCAAAGGTATTGGTTTCTTCTACTTTTATTAAGCTTGTGCTTTAAATAGAAACTCTTTCCAGTACATAATTTCTAAATTAGGTGCAGTAGAAATCAAGGATTTTCTTGGCAATAGGAGCCTTTATGTACTCTAACTGCATTTCAGATAAGAGTCATGTCTCCAGTAGGCCTGTAAATAGACCAAAACAGGTGGCTGACTTAAGTGTTTCATTTAAATTCTGAAGTTGTCTTCCGAACAAATGCCTTGCTTTTTAGGAATGATTTAGGAATAGTGATTAGCCTTGTATAGCTGACGAGGCTATTGCCAAGGGGATCACAGAGTACAGGGAGGATACTAGATGATCTTGTAAATAAATTTTCAACAAAAATCAGATTGACAAAACTGAGAAGTAGACAAATGCCTTGTATTTCTTTCTGAGAAGATTCTCTGTTAATTTGTCAACCACCCCAACTTCTGTCCTTAGTGTTGAATACTAAGGAGAGGGATAATACAAGCTTTGAAGAGTTGAAGGAATATTGCTTAGTCACTGGATTAGTATAAATAAGGAATAGCCGTGGTAGAGGAAGGGAGAACCTAATTCTTTCAAGATGAGCTTTTAACTGTGACAGATGTGAATTTGAGATAGGGATATGAGCAAGTGGGTTAGCCAGGCTGACTCCTGTTCTGCATCTGAGGCCTCTTTGTATTAAGACTTGTGGAAATAGAGCTTCTTCACATTTTAAGGACTAAGAACCTCTTCCAAAATAATTTCTATGCAAGGCTGCCTGAAGTTTTTTCATTCTTTTTTTTTTTTTTTTTTTTAAGTCAGTGTCAAGTATTTGACCCCTGGCAACTACATAAAAAAAGTGCAGTCAGTAGCCAAGGGCATGTATGGTTTCTATTCTGGAGGAACATCCAAGGACTCATCTGCAGATTCTTTCTAATTTTCCTCTATGGGTTTACTGTATTAGACTAGTGTGAGATTTGGGACTTCAATTTTTCAAACATAGTATAATTTAGGAGTGAATCTCCCAGTCTCTTCAGATTAGCCCTGTGTGCTCTTCAGTCTGCTTGAAGTGTTTTTGTTTTTATTTTTTAGTAAAAAGTTATGTAGCTAGAAGGGAACGTGTACCTTTTTGGCAGGGAAAATAAGTTTTTTAAGTTTATGGCTGTGGTCTGGATAGGAAAGTTAAGTCAGTAGGCAGTCTCTTCAGATTAGCCCTGTGTGCTCTTTAGTCTGCTTGAAGTGTTTTTTGGTTTTTATTTTTTTATTTCTTAGTAAAAAGTTATGTAGCTAGAAGGGAACGTGTACCTTTTTGGCAGGGAAAATAAGTTCTTTAAGTTTATGGCTGTGGCCTGGATAGGAAAGTTAAGTCAGTAGGATGAAATATTTACAAGCTCAATATATATAAGGTAGAGTGATGTCTTCTCTCTGGATTCCAGGAAAAAGATTTGTACTGTATTTCAGAGAGATACTCCACAGTTTCATTTTTTGCAACTGGTTGCTTTTCAGATTTGCTCTGCCTGTGTGATAACTTTGTAGTGTATTAGCTATTGTTCTTTAGGCAATTAAGAGACATAATTCATGGTTGGGTTTGGATGGTTTGCTTCCCACTAAATAATGTCTTTTATTTAGAAAAACGTTCCCTTTCAGTGGAAAATTACCTGGTTTTTTGCTTTACAACAGAGCTGAATTGGTTCAGTGTCTTTAGGCAATTAAGAGACATAATTCATGGTTGGGTTTGGATGGTTTGCTTCCCACTAAATAATGTCTTTTATTTAGAAAAACGTTCCCTTTCAGTGGAAAATTACCTGGTTTTTTGCTTTACAACAGAGCTGAATTGGTTCATTGGAGAATATGATGTGCTTTGGAGCAGACGCAGTGACAGTTACAGCATTAGGTAGGGAAGAACGTGGGAGAAGAGATGGGGGAAGAGTAGGACTCCTGTATTTAAGCAGTAGGAAGTTGCCAAAAAGCTCGCTGCTTCATGCAATTTCACCATTGACAGATGCTTGTGGCATGAGAGAGGTGAAGTTACAGCACCTGCATTTTGGAAATGTTCTGAAAGAGAAAGAACAGCCTAAAATGGCTTCTCTTTATCACGCCTAGGTAGAAACAGTATTTTAACAAATAAAAATTACACCCCCCCAATCTGACGAATATATACTAAACTAATTTAGAATAAGTAATTCCATTTTATGTAGTTATAGCTGATGTATGTATCTTAGTTAACATTTTAGTAATTCAGTTGCCTCTTTGAATATGACAGATGGTATTTATTGTGATGGAGGCTCACCGTGAAACTAGTCTTGACCCACTGTGTTCCTGATATGCATGACAGGAGGGTTTTTTTTGCTGTGCTAGAAGAAAACCTAATTCTACACAGCTCAGAAGCTGCATTAGGGAGGAAACAAATCTCCTGTTACTTATTTGCAGTACTGGGTAGATGGTAATGTTGTAAATGATTAAGTAAAATTGATGAGACATCTTCCCCTTATAGTTGGCTCCTGTTCAATTTTGGCATAGGAATTGCTTTTGTATGCCCAGAGCTTGGTGTCTTCTGTTGCTGCTGGAACGTTTGTGTGAAAACATAGTAGGAGGGAGAGTACTGGCATCTTAAATGAATGCTAGAATTTTTTTTGGTACATGCCCTTATGTCTTTCACTGTACGTGTTATTGTAGATGTGAATGCTCTGTTGCTGTCCTGTACTTACTCTTTCCTAATTTTTTGTCCCTTTCATGTGGTCCCATTTTTCTTTTTGATTTATGTTAATATTTCCTTTTCCCCTTCCTTTTTTTTTCCGTTCAATTTCTAGACAGTCTACCTATCAATAAATTGATGGCTTCTATACCTGTTTCTTACCATGGGGTTTTCTTGTCATGGTTTTGTTTTTTTTTTCTTTCATAGCTGCTTGGTAACTAGTAATTGGTAATGGGTGTAAGCAATATGTTTTTTCTGCCATCTTGGCAGAATCACAGACTTTGGAATAGCTGGAATTGGAAATTACAAAAAGGTCCTTTTAACGTAAGCTTAGTTTTCTATCGGTAGTACACTTGGGGATGGTCCATTCCCTGGCATTTGGTACTTTGGAAATTAAGGGAGAAGATCTTGTAACAGATGGCCTGTACACAGTTTTAAAGGATAATTTGTGTGGTATTTTTGAGCCAGAACTCAACCTTTTGTGATCTTCAGCATCTTTGCTGTGTTACAGCTTTAGAAAAAAAAGGGGGGGAAAAATAGGGAAAACAGAATTGTTTGAGTGTTTCAAACTTTAGAACATACATAGGTCTGTAAAAAAAACAAAAAAAACAAACAAAAAAACAACCAAAAACAAACCAAAAAAACTTCCTTGCTTATCAGGATCAGGTGTGATTTGTCTAGGGGGGGTGTTTTACATTAATTTCTGCATTCCTCTGAAATATGGAAGGTGAACACAGCTGATGGTGGTGTTCAGTAAAACTTTGCTTATGCTTGCTGGTCGCCTGACCTTTTACTAAAAAGGTATTTACTCAAGAGGTGGTGAGTGTAATGTTTCCTTAAAGTTTCATGAAAGGGAAAGAAATGTATCTTCTGTTGAAATTCCAAAATACCCTTCATATGATTTTCAGAAATATAAATTACCCTTCCAAAAATTCTTTGATGTTTCTTGCTGTTGGAGAACGTGGTTCTTTTCACATCAGATGAGAGAGTTTTTGTTCTGTTGTACACTAAGCTTTCCTTTGTCTTATTTTTTCATAGTGATTTGAATGAAAGCTAGTGCTCTTGCACAGGTTAGGTGGACCATGTAGGGATGTTGGAAAAAAAAGTGACATTTTCATTCAGCGTGTGCTTTGAATTCTTGAAATATTAGGATCATGTATTTAGTTTTACAAAGCCGCAATGGCATAGTTGAAGACTGTGACACTGAAGTACTGTCTGTGTTTTGAAGGACTTTCCGTAGGTGTTCCAGCATGTGATGCTTTAATGTTCAGGAACTTTTTTCTGTAATGCATTATTCTTGTCAAGTAATTATTTTTCCTGAAGAAAGTAGCAGAGTACTTCTGCAGAGTAAAATGGGAATAATTTCAGGTTTTGTCAGCATTCTGCATCCATATGGTCGACAGAATGTTTTAATGTATAAAAGACAATTTGAGACCTTGAGCGTTCATCCTTTTTTGATCCAAAGGAAAAGAGAGAAATGAACAGATATTCGTACTCAATCTTCTTTAGTGCAGGGGCTGTTAAGACTGTTACAGATTCTCGCCAAGGCAACGCTTCCATGTTGGGTCCTTCTGTCCCTCAAGAGGGCTTCAGAAAGCAGCAGCCATTCAGTTGTTCCCTCTCTTTCAGCCTTGCTTTTTTTGGGATTCAAGGGCTGAAAACAGGCTCTTCTTGCCCGTTTAGCTCAACTTTTTT